CAGGTCTGAGTTGTTCTAGAAAGTCCTTGGAGAACTCTGCTCTAAGAAGGGTCTTGAATATGACCCATTCAAGAGACACTAGAAGTGCTCTGCTCTAGACAGACAGCTTCAATTTCTGTTCTCATTGTTTTACATTCAAGCTTCTTGACAAGAGACTGAGGGAAGTCTCAAGAAGCTTGAATGTACTAAATGGGGCAGTAGAAGAGATCAGGCAACACGGAGACTCCTCCTATCAGGCTGCCTACACTTACTCCTCTGACTCCTCCTGAGTTCCAGTGCCGGACCTGTGACACCACCAGATGTAAGCTATGCCTCCAAGAACATCTGGGATCAGTCAGCTAAAGGTTTTTGTGGCCTGCTATATAATAGGACATTGATGGAGGAGGCCTACAAAAATCCTCTGGGCAGCACAGGAATTGGATAAGTGTGAAAGATGGATTTCCACAAGAAGAGACTGCTATCCATGGGGAGGATAAGGAGGCAGCCAAGCCGAGCAGCAGCACACAAAACTGGACAAGGGTAAAGTCAGAGTGATAAGCCAGTCTCTGCTGAAAAACAAGACATGACCATGTCTGCAAACACTCAGGTAATGGTGAGGGACTCTCTATATATTATAATCAGTTAATACTGTGAAATGCTCAGGGCTGCACCAACTCAAAGAATTCCTGTTTTTTCCAAGGAAACTCACTCACCGTTTCACCAAGATGCGAATGGGGTCTGTCATGAATTTGTTGGTCATTTCCAGAATTTCATGAGGCAAAGTGGCACTGATTAGAACCACCTGTGTAGCTGGAGGCAGGTATCTGTACACGTCATAAATCTGCTCCTTAAAGCCTGCAGTGCAAATCAAGTCACACAGAACAGTTTAGCACATCTTTCTCCCAAATATTCTCCTCTTTCACAATTTGATATGGGATTCAGTACTGGGTCTATGCTATGAGATGAACACTGATGCATTAATCAGTATCATCAGACAAGGCATATTATGCAGTTTTACCCATTACAGCCTACAATTAACTATAATTGTCTAACTTTGGAAAAAGCAATTTTTAGAAGTGGGCCTGCCAGCTGGGACACCCTGGAATCTCAAAGAGGTGAAGAGAAAGTAAGTAAAAGGGAGACAAATGTTTTACCTTTATTGAGCATTTCATCTGCTTCATCCAACACTAGCATTTTGATGGCACGAGTTCTTAAACTTCGACGACGAATCATATCTGTAAGATTTCACTTTGTAAGGTGAAAAGGCTCTGAAAGCAGGTGAGCCTACACTGCTCCCAGCCTCTGTCAGGGCATTTTGGTGCAGCAGGGACAGGCTCTTCCTCTGCTTTTTTTTTTTCCACGTGTGGGGACTAGCTCTGTGTTCTCCCAGTGACAGGTGCCTGTGTAAGCCAGGGCTGTCTGCTTCTCAGAGACCCAGAAGATGTGAACTTGAAGGCCAACACTGCCACTAATAATAAATTTTAAAATCTTCATGCAATGAAACCAGAAGGTACCAGCTGCAAGTGTACCTGACTTAACAAAGGGGGAGCAACAACCAGTACACAGAATATGTGGACTAACTTTGGCAATCAAGTACACCCGGCTCCTGTCCCCTTGAAGATACTTAAGTATTTTCTGGGATTGTAGTATTTTCTCCTTAAAAAATATTCTTTTTTTCTATGCCACCATATAAAGACACACTTTATCAATAAAAAACAAAACATAAAAAGAGAAAATGAAAATACTATCCTCCCCACTGATTTCTCTCTAGCCTTTTCCAGTTACCTTGTTCCACTTCATGTTAATATTACATTAACAGTGTCACGATAAATGTAATTTCCATGCTATTTAAAATCAAAGCACCCAGAAGCTAAGGAGGTTCCCATGACTCAACTCAGCTCTGAAGCTAGAGGTGATGCAGCCTCCCACATTTCCTTACCAAACACACGGCCTGGAGTGCCGGCAACAACGTGCTGCCCATAATCCAGTTTTCGGATGTCTTCCCCCACGTTGGTCCCTCCGATGCAGGCATGACACTGGACATTCATGTAGTCCCCCAGAGCAAGAAGCCCCTGTGTTGATACAAAGCAATGGTTTAATTACCTGAGCTCTTCTAAGTTTGCATTTGTGAAGAGATGCAGGTCTGTACAGCCAAACCACAGCCATGTGGGTTTTTTAAAGAGATGTAAGCACAAGGAGTTGGAGGGATTTTTTGTGTGTGTTACCCAAACCTCAACAACAGCAGGTCTTCAAACACTGGGGACCCAGTTCCCCAGGGATCACAGATGCTTTAAAAGTGTTGTCCTTAAAAATTCAGTTAGGACTGTGTACAACCTTAGGCTGCCAACCAACACGGTCATGCAAGCAGTAATGGATACAATGCAGATGAGCAAAACAGCTCTTTCAGGAACAGAAAGAAACAGTGGAAGCTGTGCTTTGAGCTCTGCTGGGGAAACACCAGAGCACTGGCCCCAGGCCTTGCCAGTGCTTTACAGACAGGGATTTAAATGCTCTTACCTTCTGAATCTGCACAGCTAGCTCTCGAGTGGGCGCCAAGATCAATGCCTGGGTCTCACGAACCTGATTAAAACAAATGACATGGAAGTTAATCACAGGCCATAGAGCCAAGCGTAAAAGATTACGGGTCCCACAGCACTCTGAAATGTCACAGCTGAATTAAGGCTCAGTATGCCTAGAGAGTGGCTTTCAAATAGAGCATTTACACAGCAACAGCCTCTTTTAAGTTACTTTTGACAAGAAAGCATTTAAGCAGTTCTTTAAGAACTTATTTTTCATTCCAACACAATTTCTGACCAAAAAAAGTGTGTACTTTTCTTGCAAAATAGAAACAAATTAAAAACCCTTCAGTTTTGTACGTTTGGTTCAGATAAACACCTTGCATTGCACAAGGATTCCAAGACAATGTTTTAAAGTGTCAGCTTTGAAAAATATTATGAGCACATTACAGAAATGAAGCAAAAGCTGATCTTTGCATTTAGAACATACAACCTTCATTTTTATGTCCCCAGGCAGCGACAAATGAATAACAATCCAAGCTTTAAGAGGATACCAGCCCACAGAAAAACATCATTTTATTCAATAGCATCTACACATTCAAGTTAATACTTAAAAAGCATGGACATGATACCCCTGACCAGAACAAAAGCAAACATTTGTCAGTCAAAAATCTGGGTTTGATTCTGTGCAATGTGTGGCAACTGTTCAGACAGGCTGATAATGCTACAGGACTGTCTGAAGACAATTCTGCTTACTGAGAGATTAACTTAGCCCTCTAATAGGTGAAATAGTCTGTTAAACCCAACTTTATAATTACAAGACTTTATCTGAACTTATTTTGCCAGACTGGTTTTAACAGTTAAACTGTTACAGAGTAGAATCAGAATTTTGTCTGAGGTTCACCGCCCATAATTAAAGATTTCAATGTAAGGCCTCATTTATTAATTCCAAACAAAAAATGGTTTTTATGATCAAGACTATTGATTTAGTAAAAAATATTTTTTAGCACATGCTGTGAAATTACCTGTATGTCCAGGCACTGCAGAACAGAGATGGAGAATGTTGCTGTTTTCCCTGTTCCTGACTGTGACCTGAAAAACAGATGTTTGGTGAATACTCTGGATGTCTGGACAAACAACACAGGCAACTTTGACATATTCCACCCCTCGGCTCTTTGCCACTCCTCCATTGCAAAGAACTCAATAGTGGCAACAGTGTATTTGACAAAGGCTTGTTGTGATCACAGCATGATCTGCTGTCAAGCAGCTTTGAGATCTGCAATACCAGGGACAGAACACTCCATTGCAGGGTCCCCAGCTCTGGCATGCCTACTCCTTATCAGACCAGCATTTTAACTTCCTGCAATCTCTCATACATACAGTTTTTTTTTTCTTTTCAAGCGAACAACAGATAACCCAATACAATTTTGAAGGCTAATAATTCCCACTAGTGACCTAGAAAGGATTTTTTTCAGTGGCATGCATATCCTTTTTTGTCTCTAAAACACACTTTTTTCTTTTCAGTGACTAAAGTTTTGACATTAACAACTGTTGGGATCACAGTCCATGTGCAGAATGGCCAGTTTCACCCCGTTTTGCCCATCATATCACAAAACCACAGAACGGCTTGGGTTGCAAGGGACCTTAAAAATCATCTCGTTCCAAACCCTGCCGTGGTGCCACACACTAGACGACGTTGCTGTGGGCCCCATCCAGCCCGGCCTTCAATGTTTCCAGGGATGAGGCATCCACAGCTTCTCTGGGCAATCTGTTCCAGCGCCCCACCATCATCAGGTCTCTCCCCAAACCCTGCGACCGACACACACACACGAGCCCCGCCCAAGGGCCCACGACCACCTCGGGGCACCCGCTCCCGCCGCCCCAGGGCCCCACTTACTGGGCGATCACGTCCCTGCCCTTGATGATCTGCTTGATGGCTCGCTGCTGGATGGCCGACGGCTTCTCGAACCCTGCGGGGGCGGCCACACCGTCAGGGCCGGAGCCGGGACACCGACACGGCCCCAGTCCCGCACGGCGCAGGCGCGCGGCCCACATCCGGGCGCCACCACGGACCGCGGCGCTGCCACGGACACGGCCCCGCCATTCCCCACTCCCCCTTCCCCCTTCCCCTTTTTTCCCTTCCCCCTCCCCCCTTGTCTCTTCTCGCCCTCCTCCCTCCTCCCTCCCCGCCGCTCTGACCGTAGGCGTAGATGCCGCGCAGGAGGTCCTCGCGCAGGCCCATGGTGTCGAAGGTGGGCGTCACGTCCACCTCCTCACTGGTCTCGAACTCCACCTTGGTCATGTCTTCCTCCTTCATGAGGCGCTTCCTGGCCGAGCCGCCTGCGGACCCCGCCGACCCCGCCATGGCCGCCCCGAGCACCGCGCGCGCACCGCACCACCCCCCGCCCCGCGCGCGGCCCGCGCCCTCTCTGCGCCTGCGCAGGGGCGGGGAAGGGGAGGGAACGCGGTGTGCGCGTGCGCGGGGCGGGAGGGCACGGGGTGTCCTCAGGGAGTGACGGGATCGTGAGGGCTGGAAGGAAGGGACCTCTGGGGATCATCCAGCCCCACCTCACCTGGAGCGGGTGACACAGGAACGCCTCCAGGTGGGTTTGGAATGTCTCCAGAGAGGGGAAACTCCACGGCTTCCCTGGACGGCCTGTTCTGGGCTCTGCCACCATCAGTGTAAAGAAATTGTTTCTCAGGTTCAGGTGGGACTTCTTGTGTTTTAGTTTATGGTCATCGCTCCTTGTCCCGTTGCTAGGCACCGCTGAAAGGACTCTGATACCATCCTCTTGACACCCGCCTTCGAGTTATTTACATGCGTTGATTAGATCCCTTCTCAGTCTTCTCTGGACTAAACAACCCCAGCTCTCTCAGCCTTTCCCCAGAATTGAGGTGCTCCATTCCCCTAATCCTCTTTGTTGCCCTCTGCTAGACTTGCTCCAGGAGCTCTGTGTCTCTTGTCCTGAGGAGCCCAGAACTGGACACGGCTCTCCAGGTGATCCTCACCAGGGCCGAGTAGAGGGGCAGGATCACCTCCGTCGACCTGCTGGCCTCTCTCTTCCCGATGTGCCCCAGGAAAAGCATCCAGGGGGCTGGACGGGAAGGTGGGCGCAGGTTGTTTGTGTTCTTCAGAACACCTTGGAATGCAGGATGGAGGCGACATGTGGGTTGCCACTCCCATTTGGTTTCCCTGTGTGGTGTGTGTTTCCCCTGGAACTCCGTGCCTGGGATATCCGGCACGCCATGCCCGTGTGGAAGCCAAGCGTCCAGCCCCAGGAACACCCCAGGCAGTTTGCACGGGGAGGGGGGAGGAGAAATGTGCTGGCTGGCAGCCTCATGTCACCTCCTCTGCCAGCCCAGGGGTGTCAAGAGAGGGTTGATTTGCCAACCTGAGGTGGGACAAGGCAATGGAATGAGATGTAGGGGTTCTCAACAGAGACCAGAGAAGGATCCAAACTTCTCACTACCTTTCCTCAGCTGATGCCTTCTCCACTGCTCTGTCCATGTTGTTCAAGCAGCTGGGATCCAGTTTTCACAGAGCTGATCCCTGGGTTCTTTTGAGGGGCAGAGAGTTTGGATGTGGGCATACTGCACCCCCCCGTCCTTCTCAAAGAGCATTTTTAAATTGTGTTCCATTTGCACTGTAGAAGAGATGGGATTTAAGAAACAGTTTGGGTGCTTCAAATTCCTGCAGCTGTTGAATTTCTCTTCGTCTCGTTTCTTGGGAACGCACAGATGTATTGACTAAACTGGAAAAGCATGGAGATGGAAGAGCTTTGAGGAGTTGCAGTTTGGCTTGTTCAGCCATACAACTACATTTTTCATGGCAAGTCAATGTCTCTTAAGTAGCCAAGACTTAGCACTCCACGGGGTGAGTTTGTAAAAAGGATCCTGGTTGATGGCCTTGATCAGCAGCTCCATGAGGTGATTTCCATTGACTTTGGATAAGGAACAATAAGTCATTGCCTCATCCCTACACAGGGCAGTTAATCTGTATTTGATGTTTTACAATGTCCTGCAGGGAATCCAGACACAAGTCCAGACATCACATATGACAGAGATTGTCCTCTTTTTAGTGCATGGATCAAGCTTCATTCACATTTTCTTTAATTGGTGTAAAATATTTCTTTCTCCTTAGTGCTTTCAGTTCCAAGGACTGGCAAGGCATTTGCCAATGCTTTTGAAGTACCTCTGGTGGAAGTGAATCTCTGATTACCCTGACAGCCAGGACAGCTCCATCCAGGATCTTGAGCAAAACAGCTCCAGAAAAGAAAGAAGAGTTGTTTCAGGTTCTTTTGACTTAAGACTTTGACTTAAGGCTTCTTTCAAACCTGGTACAAAATTGGTGCTTTTGGAGTTATCGGTTCTGTATCAGCTTTATGCTTTTTGGGTCAGCTTGACTGAATCTCATTTACCTTTGAAGCTGACCTCAAGGCAATTTTAGCCTCTAGGTCAAACAAAATGTTGGCTGGAAGTCCCCATCTGGCAGTTGTCACTGTAAACTCTGTAGCTTTCAGTGTTGTTTTTTCTGTGGCTTCTGAGTGTTCACCAAAACCTTCTCATTGTAGTTGCCTTAAGGGCAGCTCAGAACATCTCCCTCTTGGCAGCTTGGGCTTGCTTCTAAAATGTTCTTCAGGATTGATTTGATCTCTGAAGTTTCCTTTTGGTATGGAAAGCTTCAGTTTTTCTCTGCCAGTTTTTCCCCACTGACTTGTCTCTGCTGTTTTTTCCTCAGTGTCAGAGGGTAATGTGCAGGGAATCGGTGTGTCCTTCTGGCCAAGCTGCGTGGGCCCACATCACTCCTCCATCATCAGCAAAGGCACCAGGTTTGCCAATCCTCAGCTTGTCACTGCCGCCTGAGCCCTGGAAGAACTAAGGGGAGATCCTCATGGTCTCTGGTGCTGCCTTGATCGGTGGTGGTGGGTGAAGTGAGCAGCAGGGCCTTTCAGCAAGCAACCGTCTGGGGTGGAAGAAGTGCTTGCAGCCAAGGTTCGTGATGGGGTGGCAGGGTTTGGGGAAGGGCTGAGGAAAATCTGGGGTGGATATGATCTAGGCTTATCTGTGAGATGGGAGGACATCTCTGAATGACTGGATGGTGTGACAACAGAAGTCCTGTTGGAACTCCTTGAAGAGGGAGGAAGTGATTACAGTCTATGCTGTGCTTGCAGAGGTGGAGTAGCAGCATGGAGGAGCAGGTGAGACTGGCAGAGCTGCCTGCAGCCTTGGACAGCACACTCATGGTCCCCAGGAGTGGGCTTCAGCATGCAGCTGTCACCTCCTATGGATACAAACTGCAGTGCCTCTGGTGAGGGTGCTGCTCCCCGCGAGGAGGGCTCTTCTCTGGGATGTGTGAGGTGTCTCTTAATGCTCTGCTCTCCGTGTCTGCAGGATCCAGGTGAGGAAGATCGCCAGGGAGAGGGACAAGGCGAAGCTGGACTTGGAGAAGGCAGAGAGACACTGCCTGCATCTTGGCAGGGAGCTGGACGAGCAGTACATCGCTCTCAAGCACACCCAGAGCAAACTCAAGTAGGAAGGGTCTTTTTGGTGGGGCTGGGAAGATGTGCCTACAGTCTTTCCCTCCCATCCTAGTCTCCCTGTTAAATCTCCCACTTGTTTTGTCAACGTGCTAGTGGCAGAAAAATCCCTGAAGACCTTACCCCACTATGATTTCAGCATCCTTCCAACCAAGTTCTCATCTCCTGCTTTGTGCGTGGTGAGGGAGGGTGTCTGTACCTCGTGACCATCTGAGAACATGCTCCAGGTGCCCCAGCCACGTTGCTTTCTTCCCCCAGGGATTTTCAGGCAGAAATAGAAGCAAAAGAGCTGCTTTTGCAGCAAGCAGTCAGTCACCAGGCAAAGCTGGAGGCTGATACACAGTTCCTCCAGGGCAAAGAGGCCAGCCTGCAAGGGAGACTGAACCACGTGATGAAGGTAAGTAAAACTGCCCTGGGTGAAACATCTTCACTTCTTCAGACGAGGCAAAGCAGAGGTGGTGACAAATATGGATGGTTTGTGTTGCTTTTGCTGGGAAGGACAGGAATTTTATGCAGAAGAATCATCAGCCACATCCATACTATTGTATTAAATACAGAGCTTGTTCCCTTGCCTGTGGCATTATTAAACCCCCATGTTGTTTGTTGGGACTGGTTTGGCTCTTGATAACACCTGGATACTCAATAGCTAAGGCTATAATTGTGCCAGGGGTCATGCCAAAAGCAGAGATGATGGTGTCTGCGTGCCTGGGATCATCCCAGTTCTGTTCATTGTAGAAGTACAGCTGGAGATAGCACAGGACTTGCTGCCTTTGTTGTCTGTGACGGAAACCATAGTTTTGTGAAGCAGGGGTAGAGATGAGCCTGTGGGGCTATCTAGCTCTTATTCTGCAAAACCCACTCCTATGCCTGTCCTTTGGAGAGATGAGCCTAACCCCAGCCCATGAGGTATCAACAGTGTGCTGTGCTGTCCTGTTGTGGTTTAGGAATGGTACTGCCCAATTTAGTTCTCCCACAAGACTTTCCAAACCACACTGCTGCTCACTGCCTCTCCTCCATCTTCTGTCCCTTGGGTGGCTGTAGAGGAGAATTGGAGGCACAAAAGGCAGAGATCATGGGTTGAGATAAGAACAATTTATAGGAAGCAGCTATGAGATAAGAAAACAAACAGTAACAGCAACAATACTAATAACAAAAATGTACGAAAGAGAGAGTGATTTACGTGCAAAATGCTCACCGAAGAGCCCAGCCCAACCTGCAGCCACTTTTCCTTTTCTCATTTTCTCACTGGAAGAAAGCCTTTCTCCATGAAAGAGTCCCTTCCCGCTGCCTGTGGCAGTGGCATGAGGTGGTGTAGAAATAACATCTGGGCACCCTTCTGGCTACTGCAAAAAATGACTCCTGTCCTGTCTGGAACCAGGAGCTGTCCAATTCAGGGTCTTCTGGGAGCTGTGCTGTGTTTGCCACGCTGCCAGCTGTTTCACAGCTTCCTGCTGAAGGCCTGTGTCTGATGAACCCGTCCTGCCATGTCAGGACCCACTGCATCAAGGAGATCTCTGTTTTGTCAGCAGAACGCAGAGCTGCAAAACAAGGTCACAGAGATGACTGAGAAACTGTCAGCCTCTGAGGAACTGGTGTTGGAGCTGCAGAAAGAACTCAACCACATTGTGAAGGAAAAGGTAACCTTTCTCTGTTGTAGTTAAATAGAAACTTTTCAGGAACTCATCAAAAAATTGATCTTGCGTATTTTGGCTCAGTTGTTATGGTCTCCCCCTCCGTGAGCTCTCCTGCACGTTGATGACAACCTGGAAAGAAAAAAAATGTTGGCTTTTAAGTTAGACCTTTTGAAGCTTGGGGAAAAAAAGGGTGAAGAAAGTTTGCAGTTTTAGAAAATTTTACAAATTTGCAGTGTTCAAGTGAAAACTTTGAAGTTTGGTTTCCAGAAAAAAGAAAAGCTTTATTTTTCACAACTATTGAAGTAAAGGGTTAGTTTTGGTATCTTCCACTCCTACAACTCACCTGGCAAAATGAAACTGGGGAAAGAAATGAGTCTGTGATCTTGTTAGCCAGGAAAGCTTGCCTGCCTGTAGTGTTATCTCTCACATGTGGAGAAAAATGTTTTTCCTCCTCTTTCTGCATCTGACTCATCCCACAGGTGACAATACGAACCCTTCTGTTGAATCTATGGGTGTAGCACCATGACTTCAGTAATTTAGTAGAGCTTTTGGCTCTCTGTTTGGAGAGGTGATAACTTTCTTGATGAGAGATGTTTCCCTGTGCTTGTGCAGCTGGGCCAGGGGGAGCCCCACAGCCCGGAGTTCCTGAGCCAGAGCGAGCGCTTTGCCGAGATTGTCCTGGAGTACGAGCGGCAGTGCCAGGTACGTGTGGGCAGTTCTCCAGCAGCTGTTGTGAAAGTCCTGCTCTCCTCAGCACATCTGTTGGGCACTTTGGCCTGGGGGAGTGGAACGAGGCAGCCCTGACCATGGTGCAGAGGAGGATCCCTCTTTCCTTGCTCAGAGGAGGCTGGAGACAGCTGTACCCTCAGTAAAGCAGCCTTTCTCCTCACTCCTGCAGCCCTCCATGGGTTGTTTCCCTTGCTGGGATTTTGGCAGAGGAGAGTAGGGGTGGATGGTAAATTCCTCCCTGCTTACCACTCTGTAGCCATGGACTATTTTGTTTGGGAACTGTGTACCTCCACCCTGGGCTCTGTTGGATTTCTTCTTGAGCAGAAGTAGAAAGCTGTTCTCCTTATTTGGAAAGCATGTTAACACTGAAATTCTTCTATCCTTTTGTTTTTCCCTTTCTTCTCCTTGCCCCCACTTGACAAACCCCTACAAAACTTGCTGCTGGACTCTGCTAGAGAGTCAAGGTGAGCCAGTCCAGGTATCTGGTGTGTGTGTATGGTCCAGGAGTTGGTGCTCTGTATGTTGTACTTCCTGCAGGGTAATGTGCTCCTTCCAGAGCTTTCGACTGTCTGGGATGAGCACAACCTCTGTTTCCCTTCTCTCATTTTTAAGTGACTTGTGTATCTTGCATGTTGTGAGTTGCTGAGTACTCTGTGCCTTGGCTCCCAAATCCTGTGCTTGTTACATTGCCCGTTTGTTCCCAAGTGCTGTGTGTGGCTGGGGAACACCACTGAGTAGGGACAGTGACTTATGACATCCCTCCAGCAAGGGCTGAAATGTGCACTTTCAGCAAAGTCATTCCATGGACCCATCAGACAGCCCCTCTTGAGTCTGTAATTAAAGGCAAACACACTGGAGCACAATCCAGTGCAGCATTGCTCCAGGTGGCACCAGAGGGTTGAATATGCTTGGTGCTGCAATTTTTCTTCCTGTTGAACAGCCCCGGAGTTGTCCATAAGAATGCTGATGGATGGAAAGGTTCAACCTTCAGGCTTCATCTGCCCCTGTGAAGGCACCCACTCGGGTTTATCCTTTACTCTTGCTGAGTGCTGTCAGCCCCCTGTCCTTCCTGTTTAGAATGGAGATGAAACAAACTGGGTTTGCATTTGTCTACATCGTCTCAGTAATATTTATTAATTAGAAGTGTCCTAATTCACAGTCCTTTGCAACACATCAGTTTCCTGAGTGGCAGCACGTGGGAGGTAATTTGATGTCTGCTCAAAGTGGTCTGACCCCCAGTCCAGAAGAAGGCAGGATGCCTTGTGTGGTGTTGCTTCCAGTACAGGATGGAGGGTGTGAAGTGAAGCAAGTAGTTTTCCAGCTCCAAACACCCACATGGAAGTGGCTCATTGCACTGGTGTGGCAGCTCATAACTCAGCGTTCAGCTGTGGAGTTGACTCCTTGCTGCCGGCTGATGTTGGCACTGAGGTGGGATAAACTCCTGTTCTGGCCTCAAGGTGTCTCTGGCACCAGGAGACCAGCAGGACCTGCCCTGTGCTGTGCTTCCCATGGGATCAGCACCTTCTCGCTTCACTTTATTCCTTCTGCAATCTGGAAATGTTCCCTCCCAGAGCCCTGTGGGACTTGCTTCCCTGTTGCTTTGTGTGCATACAGGAGTGCTTGTTGGCTAGCCTGGATGCCCACAGAGGTATCTTGAGGATGTAAATGCAAACCTCTGGGCCCGTACTGAGATCATGGCGTTTCTTATGTGTTGGATGGTAGCAATGGTGGTTTAGGTCAGGAGGGTCTCAGGAGGCCCAGCCCTTTGAGGTGTCTGCAAAAAACCCTGGTATCGTGGCTTTTGCATGCAGGACCAGTTGCTTTGTGCTTTACAGTGTCTACTGGTGATGGTCATGGTAATCTGGGCTTGCATTTCTTCTGTGGCGCTTCCAAATTCTCTCATGTCTGCATTTGCTTGGGAAGGAAGAAAAATTCCCCTGTGCTGGGGCTGGGGGAGGCCTCTGCTCTTTGTGCTGGGCCTGAGAGCAGGAGGCTCTGAGTACACATGGCAGCTCCCACACCCTGGGGGGCTTTGTAGCCACATCATGACCAGTCTTTGGTCTTTTCAGGTGCTGTATGACCAGAACAGGGCGCTGCGGAGGGAGCTGCAAAGGCTGCGTCTCCAGCTCCAGGAGAGCAGGGCTGAGACAGGGCTGCCAGCAAGAGGTAATGTGCTCCAGTGTTCAGTGCCTCTCCATCTTCTCAGCAGGAACAGAGTTCCCTCCGGATTTACATGGGAGTGTGGGGTGGCTTGTGCCTGAACTACCACTGCAGGTTCTGGTACTGGGCAGCCGTGGGAGGGAAGAAGGGGAAATTGGGTGGTGAGGAGGAGGGAAAGAGGCGTTCCCAACTTGAGAGCTGGTGATGGTAACCTGTGGACTAGGCAGCTTGGAGTGAACAGGCAGATTTTCACTGTTGAGGATGTTAGGGAAACACAATATAATAAAGAGGATGTAGCCAACCAAACTGTGGCTTGGGAGATTCAAGTTGAGCATTAGATAAAAGCTTCTGGCTGAGAGGAGTGATGTAGCCCTGGGACCCATGAGATAGATGGGGAATCTCCATCTTTTGGAGTTGTATGGACTTGACTGGATGAAGCTGCAGCCATTCTTATCAGTCCTGTCTTGTAGGCCTGTCCTTACAGGGCTCCTCTCTGCCAGAACGCCCCTCTCCAAGCCCTCTTGTTCCTACTTCTACATATACAGAGATGTCACTCCCAGTGGAGCAGCTCCAAGAGCAGCTGGAAACCAAGGTGAGCGGGGTGGAGGGAAATGTCCTGACTTCTTGGTAAGCACAACTGCTACAGCATGACTGATGAGGCATCTGCTCCAGGAGGGTTGCTGGAGAGAGAGTTCAGGCTGGGAGCAGTGTGGTACCTCAACACTTGGCTGGGATTATTCCATGTGCATCTCCAGCCTGTCTTAGCTGGTAGGAGCGTCTGGAGCCCTCACTGGCTGGCAAAGGCTTTGTGGAAATCACTGTCACCTTGCAAAATGTTTGTGTGCGTCTTGTGGGGAACCAGAGATTACCCGGTGTTGCTTTCACAGTAAAACCAGCAACAGGACCAAGAGGAGAAGCAGCCAGGTGTCTCCTGAGGGCGTGGGGTGTATCAGAGCCCTGTTGCCCTGGGCTTGCAGCACACTTTAACCCATTTGCCCTAAGGTGACAGTGTGAGCCCAGCCCTGTTTAGACAGAGTGCTCTTGTAAGAGGCCTCAGTTTCCACATTTACTTCTCTTTTTGCTGCTGAACTGAGAGGTCAGTGGTGCTTGCTGGATTTCTGTTACAGCACTGCAAGAGTAAATTCTAAACTGCCACACAGGTGACAGAACAGTTCAAGGAGCACAAAACTGCTTACAGATACTCCGCCTGCTTCACAGTCCTGCCTTTGTGCTCATCAAATCCTGGAGTTTCTAGTGTTTACAGGGCAGCTGTGGGGAGCAGCAGCTACCCACCACCTCATCTTGGCAAGGGACCACTCTGCAGTGGAGGAAGGATGTGAGGAGCGGTGGCAGATGATGCCCTGGCCTCTCCCTTCTCCTCTCTGAGTTTCCTTGTAAACAAGGAGAAAGGGGAGAACTGTGGTGTTTGCTGGAAGGAAATGGGACTCACTGGTACCTGCCTGTTAGAGGCTGCTGTGTGAGACTGATTGTTGCCCTAAGTTCAGCAGGGACCAGAACTGCCTGAAGAGTGTCCCCTCTTGAGAGGGACCGATAGATCAACTTGAATTAGAGCTAATGGAGCAGAGGGAGCTCTCAGGAGCATGGTGCTAATATCCAAATCCTATCTCCTTCCAACAGATAAACTATTACAAAGAACAACTAGAGTTAATGCAGAAAAACTTTGAGAGAGAGAGGAAGGACAGTGAGGAAAGCTTCAAGGCTGAGATGCACAAGATGGAAGACCAGAAGAGAGACCTGGAAGAAACAGTTGCAAAGTACTGGGCTGTAATTAGTAGCCTGAAAGAGCAAAAACCTATGTGGAGTCTGGAGCTGGAGGAGAGGTTTGAGGTGGAGCAGGCCAGGGTGGGACAGCACCACACTGAAGACATTTGCCATCCAGGGCAGCAGCTGGACCAGGAGGGAGAAGAACTGAGGACACAGCAGCACCAGGACAGATTGAGCCTGAGGTCTGGCACTGTGCTTTTTCTGGGGCTAAGCAGGAGATCAGGATCATCCCCTGCTCATACCAGAGTAGGTTGGGCTGATTCCTCACGAGGCTGGAGAGCTGCTTTAATTTGGAAGAAAATCTGGGTGGTATTGCAGGGCTGCAGCTGTTCGAAGCAAGACATCTGAACTCCCCTTATATGAGTGCTTTTATTTCAAGACTTTTAAGTTTCCCTGCATGTTCTACAAGCTTGTGTCAGAGGCAGTGCCCAAGCAAACACTGTATCTCAAAATACTGAGAGATACAAGAGAGCTTTCATTAGTGTTTTCTTATTATCTCTCTCTTTCTTGGTCCTTCAACAAACCTGCCTCTGCTTGCTAGATCATCACAACTCGTTATCTTAAAAGCAGCAAAAAATGTCTTAAATTTCTCTATATAGTTAAAACAGACTGGCTGGTGAAAGAGTGAGGCTGTCACTAAATGACTGTTTATCTTCCCTTCCTGTGCTTGTGGTGCCAGTTCTGCAACATCCCCAGGGGCCAGAGTGGCCTTGCAGAGGAGACTGGAGAGGAATTGGCAGGCCTGTCCATGCCTGCTCCTTCCTGATTTCCAACACACCCCACCAGTGTCCCCAGGCTCTCCTGCCTCTTCCCTGCTGTGTCTCCCTTTGGGAGCAGAGTTCCCCTGGGCAATACGGAAACAGAGGATTTTGCTAGGGTCATTATTCCTCTTTTAGGGCTGAGATATGGGGTAGATGGGGAGAAAGGAGGTGATGGCTGAAGTCTGTGGTAGACCAGGGAAACAAAGCCAAATAACAGGAATACAAGTAATTTAAGCTGTGTTACCACCATCTCTGGTGAATGGTAGATGGACTGACTACAGTGGGGAGCTTTCAGAGTTGTTGGAAAAGATGTGATGGGTGTGAGTCTGAGAGGTGCAAAATAGTTTGGGAACTTTCTGTAAGGTTTAACTAATTGCCTTGACTTTGCAACAAAAAGAAAACTTTGTATTGCATCTCCAGCAAACGTACATTCTGGGGCTGGCTGGAGTTTCCAAGCTGTGTTATCAAACCCAAGCCAGCAAAGTCTTTTTTATCTTTAGGAAAGATGCAGAGGTTGAGCATAACCAAGAGCTGTCATGGAGTGAATGCCAGCATGAGGACAGCTGTAAAGCTTTATTGCAGCAACACTAGTGTGAGAGGAGGTGATTTCCCAACAATAAAGGCTCCAAGGTGAGACCTTCAATAGCAGCGTGCCCAGGAGAGGCAACAGTGGAAGTGTAAGGAGAAAGACAGTCTCTGTGGAAGCAGAGTCAGCTAAAGTTGTAAGAGGAGGTTAATGAGGAACAGGCCAAAATGTGTGAGATGCTTAAGCAGAAAAATATTAGAAAAGGCACCAGGATGAAATGGGAGTAATGCAGAATCCATGGAGCTGAGGGCTCTGGTGTTGAAACGGACAGAGAGTCTGGAGACTTTTCCTCTGGGGGGAAAGGAGCAGATCTGCAAGACTCAGATGAGCAGGTAGACCAAAATGTCCTGTTGCACATAAGGAACAGAGAAGAAATGAGAGACTGTGTGATGGATGGACCAGTGCAGATGTCTGTTGCAGCAAATGGCCTGCTCAGTCTAGAAGCTGGAGCCAAAGTGGAAAGTATTTATCACGGAGAAATGGAATCTTGATAGACAAGGGGATGTGCTTGGGAAGAAGGCAGAGAGAGCAAAGTTAAAAGGTATGCTTTCACACAGCAGACAGAGCAGCATCTCAGGACATGAGACAGACTTGATCTGGATGGCAAGAACAGGAGAAGAAAGCTCTGGGAGACAGAATGGTGTAGCAGCACAGGAGGAAACATGACATTCTGTCTGTCAAAATGGAGCTGGAGAGGGAAAGGACTAGGTTGCAACTGGGGCTGATGCAGCTCAAAGATGTCGTGTACTAGTTGGAAAATGAACCCAGAGCTCAAGAGAGTGTCAGGTTGGAGTGCAGTCCTGTATGGAACTGGTGTTTAGCAGTAGCTATTGGATAGGACTGTCTGTTTAAAACAGGACTGAGCCTCCTTCCCACAAGTGCCAGTATTCATAGACTCCTGGGAGACTGGAAGTACTTCCTATTGGAAGTACCAATAGAAGTGGAAGGATGATGAGCCTTAGATTTGGGGTCATAACCGTTGTGTCAAACAAGCTGAGTTCTCCAGATATGGCTTTATTGCAGGTGAGGGGTTGGGCTCACCACCTGGTGATCCTGTAATTAAGTCTTGGTGTGTCTTGATGAGCCAAATAGCTTTGTTTCCACTCCTTGGCAAGACTGCAAAATAATTTTAGCCAGCTGGAAGGCGCACAAATTCAGAGTCTGATGCTCTTTGTCCTTATTCCTCTTTATTTCCTTTCCTTTGAAGACCTGCTCCTTCTCTACCATTGTCTCTTGGTTGTCCCCACATATGTTGCCTGAGTTACTGGATGGTTGTTTTTCAGATTTCTTTTATTTCTTACTGTCCTTGGAAACCAAATGGGAATAGACCAGGGAGCCAGCACAGAATGCCAAGAGTAAACAGGGCTTTTGCATGGTTTTTTCACTCTGCTGTCTCTCCCTGCAAGGGAGACCTGTGCTGGCTGCTGGAGAACAGCTTGTTGAAGAGTCAGCTTGGAAGACTCCAGCAGGAACTGAGGCTAGCAAAGAAGGGCAGTGAACACTATGAGTAAGAGAAGAGGCAGCTGCAGGAGGCTGGCAAATGGGTGGATAAAAGGAACAGCCACTCAGGTGCATTTACCAGATTTCAGCTGGCTCAACCTGCCTTCTGTTTTCTTATTTTTGAGAAAGCCGGCAATCGCACGCCCTTTGCTGCACACAAAAGCAGCCAGTGCTGAGACAGGCTTGGCCAGAGCACAGGGCCAGAACCAGGTTTTCGGGAGGCTGTGGAGATGGGTATGTGTGGGAGGAAGGGTTGTGTAGCTTCTTTGCTACACAAATGTTTTGACCAGTGGCCTGTTTCTGCCTTAGGAAGCTTGAGATAGGTAGAGATCACCCACCAAGCCATAAATCTGAGGAGAGACAGGTTGCTGGTGTGGATGATCCCAAGAGTCTGTTAATCTGTCTCTCCTACTGTTCTTCATCCCGTGATTTTTAGGCCTCTGACAGTGTTGCAGGACTTTGGATGTCCCCAGCTCTCTGCCCTGGGCTGGGCTGAGTCACCTGTTGGTGCAGAGACACCTGACTCACTCCTGAATCAATGCAGGACCATATCTGTTTTTGCTTGGCTTTGCTTCCTGTTGCCAAAACCAGATGTAGGACTACCCAAAACAGGGCCCTCCTCTGGGGAGCTTTGGTTTGCTGCTCTCTGGCCTGAAGCTGATTGTATCCCTCTTTCCAACAGGAAACACATGAACAAGTTGGGCAGAGAGAAGGTGGAGGAGCTGGCTGAAATAGCGGAGTTAACAATGTTGGTAAGAGGCTATTAACGCTGACAGGCTCTTGACTGAAGGATTTAGGAAGACAAAAACTGCATGTGCTCATAGAGGAGAACAAAAATGTTTGTTTCAAGCATTCAAACCCAGTCTTGCTTTGAAGAACCAGCTTCATCTTATAACTTGTCAAGTAGAGAAAACCTGTGTGCCAAAAGCCAGTGAAGGTCTTACAAAGTCTCTAATGAGGTTGACTTTACCTACTTGCAGTCTTTCTCCCAGAGGTTTTGCTCACTCCCAGTCTCAAACCCACAAGCTCAAAGGCCTTTGGATATGCACACAAGGCCTGGCCAGGATTTTTTGTATGCAATGTGAACAAGGCGGGCAGGCTTTTCAGTTCTCTGCTCTGTTCCTGGGATACCTCATGACTTGGAACCACAACCTGTTTTTTTGCATGTCTTTTCTACCCTTCAGGGCCATCAGCTGCGGCAGGGTGGCCTTTGCTGGCCCTTGCTGGCTTCAGCTTCCAATAACCTGCTGCCCATAGCCTGCTTTTTCTCCTTTGGAATTGCCCATTTTCCTGTGAGGATAGCAGAGGAATGGGATCTTGCCACCCTGCTGTTAGATGCAGGCTTGCTGATGTTATCTCTGCTGTGGTCTGGTCAGAACATGGGTCAGAAACTGCACCTTGCTCAGCATTACTGCAAGGGAAGGTGGCCTAGGGGTAACACCTGGGGGATGGTGCCCTTTAGTGTCAATGTGGGCTGTTCTTGTAGCCCCTACTCTGTTTTTTTGTCTGTACTTTCACATGTGCACATGGACACATTTCCATTCATACTCTATTCTTACTAATTTTAATATTTCTGTTACACACTCATATAGTCCTGTGTCCCCCTTCTCCCTCAGTGACCTCTCCCACGGCTGTCAGCTGTGCAGGTTTCCTTATTTAGGAATGCTGTGTTGCTGGGCCTTGGTCAGGCTGGGACATGAGGACACTTGTCCTGAGTGCCCACAAGGCCCTGGAGCAGTGTCCCTGGGTGGGAACCCAGTGGGGGCAGTTGTGGGACAGATTAGGTGTCTGTTGCCTCTGTTCCCACCTCAAGCCTCTGTGCATGATTTGGGTTTTTTTTCCAACCTTTTCCAGAGCGAGAAGAGCAAAGAGGAGGTCTCCCACCCGAATGTCAAGGTGCATCAGCTGGGCTGTGAACTCACTGGGCACAAGGCTGGTCACAGTGCCCAGCTGCAGAGCCAGAGGCTTGCAGAGGCCAAGTGGCCACGAGGAGCAGAGGTGGCTGCAAGGCTGGAACACCACCAGAAGCATGCAGCATGTTGGATGGAAGTGGAGCTGCTCCAACAGCAGCTGAAGGCCTCACAGGAGAAGGTGGGTGTCCTTCAGTTGGTGGCAGGGTGCTGAGTGGTCCCTGTGATCGCCCCCCTGCTGGGGGCTGTGTTGGACACCTTCCCCAGGAAGAAAAAACTTGTCCTGTTCCTCTTTGTGGGGGACAAAGGACTCTCTCTCCTGCTTAAATGTGTCCGAAGCCAGTTCAAGTGCAGCTGGAGACAGGTCCTTGCTGCCTGTGATGTCCTCTCTGTCCTTGTCCTGTGCAGGCTGGCTGGGCACAGGAGATGGAGGCTGAGTGGAGGTGGCTCACACAGGGGTGCCAGGAGCTATGGTTCCCCATGGCTCAGCTGGCAGAGGAGCTGGGGGAGTGGCAGGATCAGGTAGGGGCTGGGCAGGGATGACGGCAGCCAGACAGGTCTTGTCTGAGGGAAGGGAAATGTGATCAGAGCAGGGGAACTAGGATCACCAGGATAGAGAGAGGAAAGCCAGTGTGAGAAACCTTCAGATGTGTTACTATCCCTCTCCTGCATTCTACCCTGTGGACCGGTCAGGGACTGGCTTTCCAAAGTACAGCTTACCCATGTCAGCCACCCCTGGATAGCCCTAGGGCAAAGTGGGACCAGACCTGCTTCCTAGTACCAGGTTTGCCCTTTGCTGGTGGCAGGAAGCAGAGGACATGTAGTACGCAACATGTAGTACATCCCAGCTTGCCTGGGATATATCCAAGAACCCAGGTGAGCAGCCCCCTCTGTCTCCTGCCATTGTGGCCCTTTGTGCTGGGATTTACTCCCAGAAGAGTCCTCCAGCAACTCCTGCTCCTTGCTGCTCAGCAAAGGGTCTCCGTTTATCCACCTGCAGCTCTTGGTGCTCTCAGTCCCTTGCTTTGCAGGCTGCCCAGTAAGCACCACTCCCATGGTCCTGCACAGTGCTGAGGGTGCTACCTAACCTCTCCCCCACAGCACACCCTGGGCCTGTAACATTGTCGGCTCAGAGCTGTAACCAGCTATCCACCTGTCTGTGTTACAGCTTTTAGAAGCCAAAGCAAGCCTGAGCCTGGCCCAGACCCAGCACGCTCTGCAGTTGCAGCAGGCCAAGGCCCAGATGAACAACGTGGTGTCAAAGCAGCAGTTTGAGCAGCTGCAAAACACCCTGAGAGAGGAACAGTGCAAGACTCAGCAGCTCCAGGAAAGCCTCCACCAGCAGGCTGAGCAAACATGCAGGCAGCTGGTCAGCATCCAGGTAAGCAGGTAATTATGGGAGCTCAGTCAAGGGTACTGTGAAGGGAACACTGCTGTCCTGGCAGCCTGGAAGGCAGCTGTGGTTGAAGGCACCAGAGGTTTGAGTAGAAGATGCAATATATAAAGAACCCACATGGAAAATGCACTTACCTTCAAATTCAGCTGCAACTTTTAATTCCTCATGAAAGCAGTCACTGCCCTGCACTCAAACATGAGCCCTCCCCACTCAAATCCACATACCCCAGACCTTGTGCCTAGAGGAGCAGGAGTTATCCAGGGAGAGACTCTCTTGGCTCAGACTGGGGAAAAAAAAAGTTTGAGCCCTCTGTGTGGAGTTCACAGAGTGGGGTGGTTTTATCTCTGGGGCACTGGGCAACGGAGGTGTTGAGTTTTCGTGAGTTTGTCTTGTGACAAACTGGGCAAAGATAGAACAAATTATAACGTAAGGAATTATAACGAGCAGACACAAAAACTGCATCGAAGGAAACTATGTCTCTCCCTGGGCTTTTCTGGACATGCCTGGGAGAGGGGAGGCCATTGGCTTGTTTTTATAGAAAACACTGCTGGGAAATCTGTGCCTTGTCTTAAAATTCGTCAGGTGCAGACCTAGAGAAGGTTGTACTGCTCTAGACACCTTTCCTACTGCTCTTTGCATCCTGCACCTCACCTAATCCTCCCCTGCTCTCCTTCAGGGAGTGTGAAGGTCCAGGGCCCTGGGGAAATGTACAGTCCAGGGTTGCCAGAGGCCAGGGGAGTGCTAGGACAACCCAACAACAGGCTTTCTTGCCCACTGCAGGTGGAACACGAGCACCTGCTGCAGGCTGCTGTGGAGCAGGCAGAGGGGCTGGAACACAGCCTGAGGAATGCTGAGGCTGTGCTGGCAGAGAGGGCAGCTCAGCTCAGAGACGCCCAGGTGAGTGCAAGAGGGGTTAGTGCTGCGTGTTCCTCCCTGTCTGGTACCCCTGCATGGCATGCTGAACCTGAAGCCTCCTGTCCCTTCTGTAGGCCCAACTCTCCAGGAACAAACTGCTGATCGAAGACCTCCGTGGGGAGAACAGGGGGTTTGCAGTGGCCCTGCAGGCTGCTGAACTGAAGCAGAAGAGCACAGAGGAGAAGAACCAGCTGTTGGAGGAGAAAGCCTCAGCTCTGAAGCAGCTTATCGGAAAAATCACACCAGCAAGTCTGAGTGGGTGATGGGACACCTTCAGTGGCAGTCCTGCCCCTGCTCCTGGCTGGGGTTGGTAAGGTGCAGAAGGGGAGGTATGGCTGGGTTGGAAAATCAGCCTTGTCCTCTCCGGTCTTGTCAGGATGTTCCTGCATAGAAAATAGATAATAGAGAACCCAGACCTTTAAGGAAGTTTGTCTTGTGGATGGCTGAATTTTCCAACTGAAAGCACCAGCTTTGCTGCATTTCTCAGTGGCAGTGTGCTGTTATAAGTCAGGTCTGTCTCAGGGCAGCCGTCCCACAGGATTTTCTTGAACTCCAGCAGTGTTTGGTGGTGATGCAGATGCTCCCTCTCTGTAGAGGGTTGATGTTGAGGCCACACTGTTATGGCTGGAAAGCCAGGGCAGAAGGCCTTGCAGGTTCCTGTGTCTGGCTCACTCTGATCAGGAAAGCTGTGTGGTGGTATTAAAATGTTTGTAATATTACAGCACTTCCTGCCATCTCCAGTCTGCTCTGTATTTCAGTAACCTTCCCCAACTGTTGCTGAACTTTCATTCCCTACAGCTCCTCTTGGGCTCTAGGAGACTGGCCCTCCTACTGAGCCTAGGATCCAAAACCAACCAGACTTGCCTCTGCAGTGAGCGGGACAGAGGGACTGAGGGTAGAGCCTTCTTTCAGTTTGATCCTCCAAGGCTTGGGGCTTGATGACCCCCTACTCAGCTCCCTTCAGAGGAGACCAGGAGACATGGTAAGTGAACTGTCCTCTTGCCTTCCTTGGTGGCCTTTACTCACTGACAGTGAGTACTACTGCCAAAGTAAGTTGTCTGAAAGGCCAAGTGTTCACATCTGCAAATACCAAATTTATTGCTTGCCCCGGCTGTTCCCCTCTGCATGGAAGGTGCATCGTTGCCCCGGTGCAATGTCCAGAGCAGACGACATTTACACAGGGGCTGTGGTTGCCACTCCCTGTGAAAGCACTCCTAGGATTTTGGGGGCTATGGAGAAAACTGTAGGAGAGACTAGACAAGCCTATTTCAGGGTACCAGTGCAGAGGCTGGACAAAGTCAGTACAAAGAAGAGGGCTTAAAAATAGCTCACGGTGTTGTTGGTTCAGGAACAAAAGAGGATAAACTGGCTGTGAGCTGAAACTCAGGTACTGTGTTTAAGGCTGCCCCCTCAGCCTGCTAGGGCAGAGAAGTTCCCTGGCCCTGGGGCCAGGCTTGGAGATGACTGGAGGCTGTGACTGAGGAGGCCTCCTTGGTTTAGCTGTACTTTTTTTGCCCCAATGCATTCAGAGCTGACACTCCTCTTTGCCTTGGGGGCAGCCCCACAGAGGGGCTCAGGCATATTGCTTGGCTGAGGGTGGGAGAGCAATGCAGTAGTGCCCCAAGCATTTACCCTGCTCCTGCATTCTTCCCCAGTGTTTGCTTTTTCAGCTCCAGTCTGAGATGGGGGCTAAGCAAACCTCTAGTCTGAGCCAGGGTTAATGTTTTTGCAAGTGTTCTCTCAGCCACTTCTCAAGAGTGAGCAGCTCCATTAAGAAAACCAGACAGGGAAAGCAGCTCTTCAGCCTTGTTCTGGTTTTGTGCTAACTGGAATCCTTTAAACCCTCTGCTCCCTTTCCCACCCCTACACCAAACAGTCCCTAGGCCTTGCCAGACCAGTGCTTGGGGAAGCCCAGGCGTGCTGGGAGAAGCCCAGACTGCAGTGCTCATTCATACAGCACCTCAAGAAACAACATTTATAGGTTTCTGATGGGAGACAAGGCTTCTTGTCTAATCCTGGAAAGAAGCTTGCACAGCCTTTTCTGACACTTGGAGGAACAGTTCCACTGAGACACTTAACCATCATGCTGCAGGGTCAGGACAGGTTTGACTAGGGACCCAGATCAGAGTGCTTAATGAACACAACATTAACTCTTAAAAATCACTACAGTGAAGGCTGAAGCAGTTCTTTATTTTGCAACCACAGAGCTTTCCTGGCTTCCAGAGCCCAGCCAGTTGGTGTCTTACTCCCACGTGAACAATCAATTAGTCCAAACAAAAATGCATTTACAAATGCCAGTTGTAGCTCTGGGGCTTGGATAACGCCCTGCTCCCCCTTCCTACCCGCCGGATTCCCAGGATCACTACATTACCAGTATGCACCATTTCCTCCCAGAGGGGTGGCCAATGTGGTTTGCATAATATAGGGCTGATCTTCAGGTAAGGCACCAGAGGCTGTTGGGAGGAGTGGCAGGGTGCCACTGCAGAAATGCTGAGGTGTCTGAAGTGCTGCACACACTACAGTTCAGTCCCCATTGTGGGCAGGCCACCAAGCAAGAGTTGTCCCTCCTGTCCTCCACACTTAGGACAGAATGTGCTCCAGGACTCCTTGTCTGATTAACTGCTCGCATTTCCAGCGGGGTAAAAAGTGCTGCATAGAAACACAGGAGAACTTTCCTTGAATTTGTTGGATTTGTTGCTCCACACAGCCAGCTCTGTTCTTTGTGCTATATATCCACTGCATCACGGTACCAGACCAGGCAGAGCTGCAGTCTGGGCCATGCAGACAGCCTGCAGCATGTGCAGGGAGCTGTGTGTGTAGGAATTGTGACATGCTGCAAAGCTGGGATAAGCAGGGGGATGTTATGGGAGTGAAAGAGAAGGAAGAGAATGGATGACATTCTTGTCATGGGTACCTGGCTGTTCTTCTTCAACAGGATGGTAGTCCCATCATCAATCTCAAATTCTCCATGGTCTCTTAAACACCGCACCTGTGAAGCAGAAACACAGCTCCCAGATCACCCCATCTCCCATAGAAACACTAGACATCACTGCTGGCTTGCAACACATGCCCCAGGACTGTGAGAATGGACACACTGCTCCCTGCCTGGGGAGTCTCAGTACAGAGCAGACCTAGAAATGCAGAACTGAACTCATCCCATGGATCAGTGCCCATGGTCTGTGGGCTCCATCTTGACATTCTCTTCCTGTCTCTGCCTGGAACAAGAGCCCAGTCTCTCCAGAAACTTGAGGAAGAAGAGCACAAGAGATAGGGACTGGTGACCCTCCCCTCCCCACAAACATACCAGAAAATGTCAATCTGTTTTAACAGTGAATGTGCTTAAGGAGCAGGTTTATTGTCACTACATGGTTTTTTGAAGAGAATATCAGAACAGAGCACTTCAGCTACTGACTGTGATTTCTCACGTGCTCTTGCTTTGTTGTATCAATTGCGTAAAGCAATTTATAGTCTCATCTATAAGAGTCCATTTAAAAAAACACAACAAAGCCCCCTAGGTAACAGTCCTTAACGTGGGAACATGGTTTCTAGTTGATCTGAGAGCTGGTTAAGTTTCTGCAAAAAGCTGCAGAAACTTCTCACTGGATAACTCACCCCATCACAAATGCCCTACAGACTAGAAATACCATCTTTGACCATACATTGTGCCCTCAGTAGGAGTAAAACGCTGGCAGAGTAAAATCCAGAAGCCTGTAGAAGCTTTGGTGCTCTCAGAGGCTTTGCTTAATGAACTGACTTGGGATGGGGATGAAGTTCTCTAAAAAAGATGGTCGGGTAAATGTTTGTTCACAGACAGAAACCACAGATCTTGCACTTACTTCAATGTACAGGCTTTTAGGAGGTTTTATGTCCTGTGTAAGGTCCAGCCCCTCCTCTCCTCCTACTGACCTCATGTAGGTTGCCAGAGACTTTTTGTACCGATTGAACCACTCCACCTGTGGGCAGTAACAGTGATCCCTCAGTCAAAGCCAAACAGCTAATGCTGAAAGACAGGTCCCTGATGAATGAGATCTAGTTTATTTGTGTTGTCAGACCACTGTTCCCAAGCACGCTCCTGACAGCCAAAGGTGAACGAATGCAAGCTCTTCTAGAAAGGAAAAACCACCCTTGAGGCAAAGCAATCTGGATTCAGGGTAGGACAGATGCTGCTAATGTCAGCAGCTCCGTACATTGGTCTAGAGATGGCATTTGAGAGCAGCACATACGGACCTAGTTCTGTTGGTCTCTCTGTGAGTCTGATCTAATAGAGATCACCTGATCCTTAAAAGTGCATTAAAAAGTGCACTCAGTGTCCATTTGGGGTTGTACCCATAGACAATGAATTAACAAATAAGTATTTACAGAAAGACACGTTAAGCATCATGTTTATAGTGGGGGGAAGAGGCGGAGTAAGTGGAAAGGGAGGAAGAGTTTAAAACAAGGCTGACTCACTTCCTCAGCTGACATGTGGAACTGGATGGTGTTTGGCAGGACACTGCCATACTCCCACCTCAGCGCTCGGATCCGCAGCAGCCGGTCGTACCTGGGGGAAGAAACGGGGCAAACCCAGCATCCTTGAGTGCTGGCAACATCCCCAGGCAACAATGATGCCCCAGTCTGCCCTCAGAGCAGAGAGCAAACACTTGGGTCATTCCACCTGTGATATCTGGCCTATTCATAATGAAAACTCTTAAAGAGCAGAGGGAAGGAGGGCCTTCTCTTTGTTGGTACCGGCAATGAACACAAGGAGAACCAGCCCCGCACCTGGCGGAGGAACCACCTGCCCGGGCCGAGTCCCAAAACCCTGCCCCTGGGGACCCTGTGCCGGCGGGGGTGAACCGACGGCCGCCCCCGCACTCACAGGTAGGCCAGGAGGCAGCGCTGGTTCCGGAGCAGGCAGCAGTGCCGGAACCGGATGAGGAAAATTAGGTCCGTCCGTCCCGACTTCGCTTCGGACCTGGAGGATGAGGAAGAGGACGATGAGGAGGATAAGGCCAGAGGGGGGCAACTCCCGGGCTCTGCGGGACGCGCCAACACTCACACATCCGCCTGGTTCCGCTCGTACAGCGCCCGCATCTCCTCCAGCGCCTGCCGCAGCCCCTCCGTCTGCAACACGGGACACAGTCAGCGAGAGCGGGACCCCTCCCGCTCCCGGCGTTCCCAGTCGCCCCGTCTCTGCTCACCCGGAATGGCGGGAGGTGCCCGCCGGTGGCGCGGTGCAGTTCCCGCACCAGCTCCATGACCCGCTCTCCCGCCATCCCGCAGCCGCGCGCGCCGGAAACCCGCGGGAACTGCAGCCAATGGGGGCCGCCGGCGGGGCCGCGCGGGGCGGGGCGGGGCCAATGGAGGCCGCCTTGGAGGGCGTGGCCTCCGGCGGCTCCCGCCCACCGCCGTTCCCTGCGCTGAGTTGCCCGGTCTCGGCGCTCTTTGGGCGACACTGGTGCGGCTTTTGGGCACCCTTGGGGTCACTTTGAGAGACCCCGAGTGGTTAAGGCACTGTCTGGCTGCCTCTGGCAACCTCCTCCCCGCACCACCCCAGCCCTTCCCAGTGCTTTTGACAGCAGTGTCCTTCAACCTGAAACATGCCACAAATAAAAGGAGGAAAAGAAAAAAAAAAGGGGTGCGTTTCTGGATGGGACAGGAAATTTTTTAACACTCAAAACCCTTGAAGGGATTCAATAATCCAGGACCATGGCGTATCCTGCTCCAGTAATTTATTTCTCCGAC